GGCCCGCGGTGACGGTGTTGGAGTAACGCAATCTTTTCCCCAGGAGCTCTTTGGCCGCTGGTGAGGTGACAGATCCTGCTCTTCCCCACTGCGTGCCAGGGGCCGTGGGCCCAGCAGGTCTGAGTTGCAGGTTAATCTTAATCTGGCCCTCGAGGTCCCGCTGCAGGCAAACCTCGATGCCTTTGGGGAGCAAAATCTCATGGAAGGGTGTTGTTGGGGCACATCACACTTCAGTTCAAAATGTAAATGTCTGTCACAGAACTTTGCTGAAAGGTTAAAATGTCTGTGGAGTACTGCCCTGAGACTGATAATGCCTCTTTTTCTCTCTCTTTTCCTTTTTTATTTTCCTTTTTCCTAAAAACCAAACCAAAACAAACAATAATACCTAAACCAGTGGAAATAACCAAAAGCTTCCTACTAATAACAGGCTGTTTCAATGTGGTCCTTGCTGCCTGGTTTTCTGACATAAAGAGAATTACATTTATCACTGGCAGTCATACAAACTATTCTAGTTCTGACGTGCTAGCTGTGAATTTTTAAAATTATTATTTATTTTTGTTTCATTCTGTTTGACCAGTGATAATTGGCTAGCCAAGCTTTTTGGTTTTTTTTTCTGTCTATAGTCAGTGTACCATTTTTAGTTTGGGTGAAGGTGGTGCTGGTGTATTTTGGTTTGTAATCTTGCAGGGAAGCGTGCAGGGAGGGTCATAAACCTGTAGTGGTATTTGGTAGCTTTTTGTGTGTGTGTGTGTCTTGTTTTACTGATAGAGCAATGTTGCAACTTTTGCCCTTGCCCTCTTGAGCAGAAGTGAAAGTTAGATGTTGGATACGAGCTTCTGCAATCACCCTTTTTAGCTTTATGTAACTGTAGGCTCCTCATTCAGAGGAGGAAATATCAGTAATATTAAAACAAAAATAGGAAGCACTCTGACCAATCCTGTTGTCTTAGTAGCAGTACAAGAATTTCATTATTAAATTATAACAGAAACGTTAACGTGCACAGTCACCTCCATAAAAGGCAGTGTTAATTAAATTTATTACTGCCCAGCCACAGGCTTCAGTTAGAACCTCTCCTCTGCTGATGGGGAGCATGATACCACACTGTTATTCCCACAGATCTTCATGGAAGACGCTGAGAGAGAGGAGCAGGAGCAGGAGCATACACGATAGTCCTGTCTCGGCACAGTGCAAGTCTAGGTTTGAATTGTTGCCACCTTGAAAACTGGGCTGTATTGGAAATGTTAATAATCCCACCCAAAATGACATCACTTTGCTTTTGACTAGTCGGTGGCAACCAGGACACAGGTTTCCAGAGTAGCTTCTGGAACGTTCTAGCACTGGAACCCAGCATGCCCTGGTAACTGCAGGGCTTTGGTAGGCCTGGTGTTGCCAAACCGAAGCCGTATGGGGCAAAATACAGCCCAGTTCTTGTTCACGAGTTTTAGTTCTGTGGGTTTTTCCCCCTTCCCCAGAACCTTTGATCTTGAAGATGGTGAGTAGCCAGCCTAAGTACGATCTAATTCGGGAGGTTGGTCGTGGCAGTTATGGTGTGGTGTACGAAGCAGTCGTCAGGAAGACCTCTGCCCGGGTGGCGGTGAAAAAGATTCGGTGCCATGCTCCAGAGAACGTGGAACTAGCTCTGCGTGAGTTCTGGGCACTTAGCAGTATCAAGAGCCAGCATCCCAACGTCATTCACCTGGAGGAGTGCATCTTGCAGAAAGATGGCATGGTGCAGAAGATGTCCCATGGCTCCAGTTCCTCCCTTTATTTACAGGTACATGAAGCTGAGGTAACGGGGTGGAAGTGATTGCTGTGGATGTGTAGCTGGGGGGGGAAGGAGGTGGGTAGGTGAGTTGATTTTTCTGAGTTGTGCTTAGTTAGGAGAGGGTGTTGTTTACCTTCTTGACGCCCCAAAATTATTATATATATTGAAAAGAGCATATCTGTTGATCAGTCTCTCATATCTGATCATTTTAAGCCATGCTGCTCAAAGAATCCAGGGCTTTTTTAAATGCAAATCTGCTTTGCTGATCTGAGGAAACGCCACAGGTACAGCAGAAGGGAGGTGCAGGGTGTTGTTTGGCTGGGCAGGAGCCCTGCTGCTGTGGTCACAAGCAGATGTGTGCTGATGCCTTGGGACAGAGCCCTGATGATTTTTTTTAATCTCCTTGGAAGAAGTAACCATCTTTATTTAGGAAGCCAGCACTTAAAATTCAGAAATAATAAGCGATTGGTAGCACACCATGAGCTGTTTTCTTTTTACATAACTGTTAATCTTCAAAGAAGTTAAAGGTATGATAAATAAGGAAATAAGTATCACTCACTGAAAGTGTCCTTTAAGTCACCTTTAAGTTTGAAGATGCATATTTTGGAGGACAGAATAGCTCTGGAAAGGCTTGGGAAAGCAATGTGATTCATTCCCTTCAGAAGAAGCTGCCCCAGCTATAAATCATCCCCTGGCAGAAATTTGTCTCTCTGGTTTAAGAAGTCAGTTGCTTGCTCTGTGTTCATGGTGTTATCCCTGGGCAGCTTTTCTCCTTTCAGTGTTTATTGTTGTCACTCTTGCATGTCTAATGTAGGACCTTTTGTTAGTGAACATTCATCTGACAGCCCTTCAGGGCTGCCCAGGCCCCATTGTCCCAAGTGCTGTTCTAGCCTGAGAAAGAGGATTCTTCCCTTTGTAAACTCATTGGACCTTGGTAGTCGTTATAGACCTGCTTTCCTGAAGGGATTAGGGTGAAATAATACTGGCCAGCTCATGGGGGAGGAATTAGCACTTCACCTTGTTGCTAGTGGATCTGTGAGAGGCTGCATCAAACTTGTGGACAGGGAGGAGCTTAAAAAAGAAGCAGAGTGGAACTGCAAGGTAGAGAGAGCTTCCAGCTCACCTGCAGCACTGGTTTGTGGTGCTCAGTCACAGGATGTCAGGGGCTGGAAGGGAGCTCTGGAGATCATCTGGTCCAGCCCCCCTGCTAGGGCAGGTAGTGTAGCCTGGAGATCTCACCCGTGTCAGGCACGAGCACTGGGGATTGTTTTCCTGCTCCAGGGAGCAGAGGAGAGCAAAGGGCAGAGCTGAGCTGACTCCAGAGAGACTAGGATTACTTTATAATAGCATGGGCTGAAACAGGGAAACCAGCTCTCCCCTGGCTTGCCCTCCTCTCCCCAGCCTGCTGGGACTGCTTGATGGAGCTGGCCAATGTGGTGTGAGGAGGCTGCCCGGGGAGGGGGTGTTGGGGTCTTCTGACCACCTTCGAGGCAGGTGCTGAGCTGGTGTCAGCCCAAATGAGTCAAGTGAGAGTCCTGGTTGTCCTGCTGGAGCCTGCTCTGGTGGCACTCGGTGGCTGTCACAGACCTGTGGGTGGGTTTTGTTGTCACAGGGCTCTGGGCTGAGGTGCCAGCACAGCTTCTGTCAAGCTGTGTGGAAGGAGAGCTGGGTTTTGGTGCTCACGTGGCAAAGGAGACTCCCTGCTGGCTTGTGATACCTTAATCTCACTGTTGTTGACTGTAAACCCTAAATAAATAGTGGGTTTTTTTTAGTTCTAAAATAGTTCTTGAAACAGTGGGTTCACTTTTTTAAGTTGGTCTGGTTTGAGTATGTTGTGCTTGCAGTTAAAGATAGCTATAACTTGCTAGTAATTTTGCTCCTGGATGGAGAATGTTGCTTTTTAAAAGCATTTTAAAATGCCTCTTTAAATATTCATAGCTACCTTTAATGTTTTTTTTAAACCCTGTAGAAGCTACGTTTGATTTAGTGTGTGTTTGGCTTACTACTAACAAATAGCTGCAAGAGTTACCTTGTTCAGAGCATGCTGAGCCCCCTCGGAGGAGCTGAGGAGGCAAGTGTGGGGTTGTGTTAACAGGATTAGCAAAGCTGGTTGCTGGTTTTACATTGCCTTTTGTACAAAGCAGCTCCTAGAACTGGTGGCTCAAGCTACTCACTGCTTATGTTCTAGAAAATAGCTGATGGATGGTGGTGGTGGGAAAGGTGTTGAGCTGTGCCTCTAGATCAGCATTCTGAGTGAAGTGATCCCGTGTTCACACTTGCTGCAATATGTGAGGAATGGAGAATAGGCTTTAGAAAATCTCATGTGGTGCTGCTGCACCAGCTGAGGACGACTCCAGCCCCTGGCACTGCACGGGGCTGCTCGCTGAGGCTGTTTATGCACTGGAGTTGTCAGCAGAGTGGGTGGGACGGGCTTTGTTGGGGTGGGACAGTGTCCAGCTGGAACAGATGGGAGTGCAGTGGCCACTTGGTATCTGTCAGAGTTCTCTTATCAGGGTCTAGCTCCAGCTTCTGGGCAGCAGTGTGACCTTGATAGGCTTTGCACGCAGGAAGATAAGGAGGCTGTCAAATACCTTGTGATTTTTTTTTTTTTTTCCTTTTTTTTTTTTGACATCCTAATGTTGTTTCCACCAACTGAAGACCCAAACTTCAGGCGTTTTTCCACCTTTGTGCTCTTGGGACCCTCGGGTAGTTATGACGCTTCTTTTCCTTGTTGCAGCTTGTAGAGACCTCGTTAAAAGGAGAGATAGTCTTTGACCCCAGAAGTGCTTATTACCTCTGGTTTGTGATGGATTTCTGTGATGGGGGAGACATGAACGAGTACCTGCTGTCCCGAAAGCCCAGCCGCAGGACCAACACCAGCTTCATGCTGCAGCTGAGCAGCGCGCTGGCCTTCCTGCACAGGAACCAGATCATCCACAGGGACCTCAAACCCGACAACATCCTCATCTCCCAGAGCAGGTTGGACACCACCGACTTAGAGCCTACCCTGAAAGTAGCTGATTTTGGGCTCAGCAAAGTGTGCTCGGCCTCGGGACAGAACCCCGAGGAGCCGGTCAACGTAAACAAGTGTTTTCTATCCACTGCGTGTGGGACTGACTTCTATATGGCCCCTGAAGTTTGGGAGGGACACTACACTGCCAAAGCAGACATCTTTGCCTTGGGGATCATCATCTGGGCAATGCTGGAAAGAATCACGTTCATAGATACAGAAACAAAGAAGGAGCTCCTGGGGAGTTACGTCAAGCAGGGGACGGCCATCGTGCCTGTGGGAGAGGCCCTTCTGGAGAACCCCAAAATGGAACTGCTCATCCCTGTGAAGAAGAAATCCATGGATGCCCGGATGAAGCAGCTGATCAAGGAGATGCTGGCTGCCAACCCACAGGACCGACCCGACGCCTTCGAGCTGGAGCTGCGCTTAGTCAACATAGCTTTCAAAGACAGCAGCTGGGACACGTGAGCTGGGGAGCCAGGTCTCCTCCAGAGAGCTGCTCCTCACCCAGCCCACGGTGCCACTTCACGGCTGGAAAAGAAACAAGCCTGAACTCCAAACCTGTGGGGTGTGGTTTCTACCTAAGGAATCTCATTTTTGAGTTTCATGAGTGATGGGAGGTTGGCCGCTGTGTTGACGTTGATGTGTAGAGCCCAGGGATGTTACAGGCAGGTGTGAGGTGTGACAAGGTCTGTGTTTGCTGGCTGTGGGGTGGCTTGAGAGCCAAGACTTGATTTCCAGCACTGTCATGGAGTATGTCCTACATTCCTGTTTCCTTTGTCAGTATTAGGAACTCTCATGGGGAAAAAAAAGAGAGAGTTGCACGCTGGTAGTGCAGCTCTCCAGGCTTTGTAAAGTAATTCTGTGTACATATTTGTGTGTATGAGTGACTGGGAGTGTGTGCTACTTTCCTTAAATTATTTGTTGTGGGTCTGGATGATTGGGGTCTGCTAGAAAACAAGGTGAAGCTGACAGATGAGAAGCATTCCTTCCTCCCCAAGCTGGAATAATAACTTTATTATTTATTTTTGTTATCTAATGTCAGAGATGGGGTCTGAGACTTGACTTTGTAGGCAAAAAAAAATGCAGTGCAAGGGGATCAGCAGTTTCTAAAAGTGCTGATGTGGCCAAGCTTAGCACTTAGAGCTAATGAGCTCTTCACTGAGGGAGTCAAATGAAAGAGGAGTGCAATCAGATGCTAGCACTTTGGCTAGTTCATTAATTCAATTTTGCTTTCTTCTAGTAATCAAACACTTCATTAATCAGTTAATCTCCAGTTTCACAATGTGCTGTCCACTCTTGTGTCTCTACTCCAGTAGCACCTTGAGGATTTAGGATGGCAGAGTGCTGTGGGCTCCATTCCTGGAAAGAGGGGTGAGGGAATCCAGCAGTGTGGAGTGTTGGGTTTAAGACTCTCCAAAATATGGTGACAGCAGAATTTTCCCAGTAGCTGACTCTAACTGGTAGTACTGGTTGTGGCCTCTTCCTTGCACTGCCTCTAACCTGGCAGCCATGAGGAGATAAAGGGGTGAGTTAGTCTTGTAGCACACACCAGTGCTCAGGTACAGGAGAGAACTCAGTAACCAGTATGGGAAAGGTGTCCCTGAGTTGGGGCTGACTTTTTTGGGGTTTGTTTTCCTCCTTTTTAAAGAAGTAATATTTATTTAAAAGCACAGATGGTAGGATGGAGAGCTTTGAAGTAGTTGAAAGGCAGCTTATCCCCAGCTCTTGTTGCACAGCAGCAGATTGCTTTGCTCAGAGAGGTTGTGCTGAGGCCACCTGACACTGGTCAGCAGGCAGAAGCAGCACAACACTCTTCCTTTGGGTGCAGGACCATGACCTTTCTCATCCATTTGACCTTCTGGGAAAAAACAGAGTCTTAAAAAATTGCCCTTGAAGCTGCAACAAAGGTTAGTTTTCTTAATAAAATCAATTTAATATTGTGGATTTTTTCCAAATGGTACCATAAGACTGCCCCAAATATTCCTTTGTATCATTTAGTTCTCAGAGGCTGTTCCCTCTTAGTGCTGGGAGCATTGCTGATCAGTTGGTGTTTATTCTGAGTGTGAATAAACAGCACAAACCCCAATTTTTTTTCTCTTCCAAACACAGAGGATTCTGATTCTCCCAGATTTCTGAGGCTTTGCAGATGACAGGTGGTTCTTACCTGGTGGTAGTTACCCCGGGGGGCCACAAGCCTTAATTCTTCTGCTTCACTTCATCACTTAAGGCAAACTGTCTGATTCTCAGACAGATACACCTTGCTGTCTTCATGCTGATGGTTTAGGAGATGCTGTTGAGGTCACTTGCAGCAGACAGAGTGCCTGGGTAGGGCTGAGTGCTGGGCTGCAGGTAAACTGGCAGGGCCAGAGGTCACCATGTCATGCTGGGGACATAGCCAGTGGCCTGCATTGATGTCCCAGAGCTGCCCCTTCCCTGCAGAGAGCTCAGGCTGTAAAACACAACTTGAAGCCTGCCTGTTAGTGATGATAAGGAGAAATCTATTTATTCTTACGTTCTGGAAGCAGAGATCTGTTTGTTCTCCTGTTTTAACCAGGCTCAGTATAATTGAAGCCTCAGCTTCATACTGAAAGGAGGAAAACAAACCTCAGTGCCAGCGCTGCTTCACAGGACTGGTATTTTTGATCATTCCATGCTCGTTCCATGAGTGAAGCCTTAAGAGGATATATCATTTTTCCACATGAAGCTTGAGAGCATTTATAAATCCATTACTAACTTCCTCCTCTCTCCTGTCCTCCCAAAAGTCCCAGATGCTACCTTTGAAGTATGAACCTCCTCCAGAATAACGCCACTCACCTTTAAGGCACTTTGCAAATCCCCTGATTTCTCCTCTGAAGTATTTCAGAGGATGAACCCTGAACGTGTTGCCTGCAGCACAGAGACAAGGCTAGTGAAGAGCATAGAGAGAAGGTTTTTTTGGTATTTTTTTTGTGTCTCCCAAAGTGTTTCTTTGCACTGATTGCCACTTTACAGGGTGGGGGTACCTAAAAAACCCCCTCATGGTGCTTTGTCAGCTGTTGGGTGACACTGTTTCCTTGTTAACACTGAAAGGTGAGTCTTGAGGTCTGTGTTCTGTTTGAGTTTTGTTGTCTGAGGTCTTTGTTTTAAAACCTTTGATAAATTGTTGTAGCAGCTACAGTTATTCACCAGCGTGACAAAGTCAAGAGACTTTTCAGCACTCAGATTTTTTTTTTTTCTGAATCTTTCTTTAAAAACTGTAATATATATTTTATGGAGAATTTATAATGAGGAAAATTATTGTGTAATTTATTAAGTTCATGACTGTTTTTGAAATAAAATCTGAATTTCAATGAAGTTTTTGAACTTTCTACAGAGAGCTGCTTTCTTCTCAGCCAGCACTGTGTCAGCTAGCTGCCAGCAGAGCTCTGGAAGGGTTGGTTTGCTGTGCTCAGACAGCAGGAAGCTGTGAAAACAGAGCTGGCTGCTGGAGCAGCTGAGGTGAGCCCCATCTGTGTGGACCCTGTGGCTCTGCTGAGCCCTTTTAAGGACCAGACCAGTGCTCTGCTGGCTGTACTTTGTTTTCAAAGAGGGGATTAGAGGCTAAAAGCATCATTTTTGCATCCAGTTTGTACTTGAAAATTGGTAGTACAAACAGACCAAATACCTCCCTGGGCTGTAAGATCTCTGGCAGGTTCTGCCTACCCTGCTACTGGTTCTACTGGATTTTTGAGGCTGTAAGTAGGTGCTGGACTGAGCCTTTCCCCTCTAGTTTCTGTGTGCCAGAGGAGGGTTTCACCCAGAAAGCTCCCAGCCCTTGTCCCTGGGTGAAGCTCGCTGTGGAGGGCTGAGGGCAGCCTGCATGTCATTTGCATGTTTTAATTAACAGTGCTGTGGAAGAAAGGGCTGTGAGAGTGGGAATAGTGCAGACTGGAAAGGCTGTACATTTTCTGGTGGTGTTAACCATTTTTTAACCCCCCAACAAACCCAGGCCCAGTCATCTCCTGTGCTGGCAGTGTTGGGTTCCTGCATCTCCCAGTGCCAGGAACAGGAGGATTCCCCACCTGGCAGGAGTGGGTGGTTACATCAGTCACTCAATGTAGTCAGTGCAGCAGAGAAAGGGATTGAAATTTAGATTATTTTTTATGAAGGGATAAGCACCTTAAGGATAAGCACCTTAATTAAAAGAGAGAGTCACATTTGGTGAGTTTTAATGAGTGGTGATTTTAAATATAGACACAAGCTAAACTCCTCCCCCACAAAATGAAGACGACTGAGCCTCCATACTTGAAACAGATCTAGCCCAGAGAGGAGGGGGGAAAAAAAACCCTGAGGAAATGCCCTGGTGCAGAGATCAGGTGTGGCTCAAGCTGCACCTCTCCTCCAACAGCCCCACCCCTGCTTTATTTCCCTCCTTGTGCAGAATGCTGAGGCCTGGGGCTGCAGCGTGCCCACCCGGGGTCGTGGGGCAGGGCAGGGCCAGGTGAGCTGCTCTGGGGCTCTCCCCTCGTCCAGATCCTCGTTTTGAGCTGGTTTGAGCAGTTTCCCCTCTCAGCAGCCAGTCGTGGCCCCGGCACAAACTGCAGCGTAATGGCAGATGTTGCTTTGTGCCCCAGATAAAGTCCTGTCTCAGTAGCTGGCAGCTGCCTGCCCCTTGGAAAGGTGCCCTGGCTTCCAAGAAACAGCTTCCCCCCCACACCCCTCCCTGCACTGAGCAGTGCTCAGGTGGCCTTTGGACCAACGGCCCGTTTTTTGTGTTGCTTTTCTCTTTGCTCCACCAACGCCCCGTGGATTCTGCAGGGGATCGATCATTTTGGGTGTGTTTGAGCTTTCCTGGTGGCTGTGGACACACAAAGTCGTCCCATGGAGAAATGATCCAGAGGATTTCAACACAGACCCTTCCGTGGCTGCTGCTGAGCACTGACTGCTTGTTTCCTTGTCGGCCCGAGGGGCTGGGGAGCAGTTTATGCAAATGCAGTTTCTGTTCTGAGGTGCAGTGAAGGAAGGGGGACCTGTCTGAAACACCACAAACCACCGGGAGTGCCTGTGCTGCTTGGGGAAATGCAGGATCGAGCTGCTGCAGCTCACTGTTCACTAGCTCTGGAAGTGTTTTTGGGGGAGTCTGACACAGCAGAGCCAGCAAAGCGTGGAGGAGTCAAGTTAGGGGTTGGATTGCTGGAACGTAGCTCCGTGGAGAAGGACCTGGGAGTCCTGGTGGACAACAGGCTAATTGTGAGCCAGCAATACGCTGTTGTAGTGGAGAAAGCCAGGGGAGCCCTGGG